AATCCACGAATTACGGTTTGAACTGCTTGACCATCCACCTTACTCACCAGATCTAGCCCCAAGCGACTTCTTTTTGTTCCCTCATCTAAAAATTGCGCTCGGAGGACAGAGATTTTCGTCAAATGAAGAGGCAATCACCTTCGTGAACAATTATTTTGCAGAGAAAAACGCCGAGTACTATTTCGACGGGTTACAGAGATGGGAGCATCGCTGGGAGAAGTGTGTAGATTTACAAGGAGACTATGTTGAAAAATAAAAAACAATTTTCAGAAAAAATGACTTGTATCTTTGTTAGGTCGGAAACTTTTCAGACCACCCTCGTATATGCCTACTATCTACTGACAATTGTACTTTTAGATATCCATATCTCTTGCAAGATTCAGTTATTACACACAGATTTTTGCTGCCACAGCTATCTCTTTTTTCATATACACTGAGAAAAATGCTAGAAAATGTATTTGCGAAATAAAAGCTTCACGGAAATAAATTTTGTATCTCACAAATAAATTTCCAAGTACTTTTTTCTCACTGTATTTTAGGAATTGAAACGTACTATTAAAAAATTTACTACGTTTTTTACGTTTGAGATAGATTTTATTGTGTCCATTCTTGCGTTATTAAAAACATAGTAACATTGGAAAAAACTTATATGGATAAAACTATAATATTCTCTCTGTATGTCGTACATCGTTGGTCAGTCAAAATATTTGGTTCAGTTTTCAATATCTTCCTCAATAGTACATCCTTCATCTTTTATGATAAAAATATACGAGTATCACTAAAACGTTGATCAAAGTAGATGATAACAGCGATTATTTAGTGAACAAATAATTTGTAATCCATATGGAGAGAATATTTTATAACTTTTCCTTCACAATATAAATTCTCTTCAATTTTACTATGTCTCCTAGTAATGCTGGAATAGACTGTCAGTAGAGTTTGCCTTGCTAAGGAATATCATAAATTGTAACGGTATGTTTAAGTTTCTAAAATATAATTAGCATGCACGAAGAAAGTAAATTGGTTGAATTGACGTGATAATGACACAATTAAGTGCGTTTTGGTTGAGGGAGACGTAGTCTCTGACTCTTGAGAATTGAATTCAGCTCATAAAAAGCAGAAATTGTATTTCCTTCGACTAAGACGCGTTACATTCTTATTATATTAACTGAACCAATCGTTTTGTATACTAAACGAGGAATAATAAATTCACTCAGAACTCCAACATGTTCTCAGCCAAAATTTAACATATCATTTTTATCATAAATTTTTCTCATCTCTCTACATTGAATGCAATAATGACAAAATCGAGCTCTCAGACAATTACAACACTCGCGTTTTATTGCTCACAATACGCATGAGGTGTGCCGCACAGCTGTGCGCGCTTTTCCTTTTCGTGACGAACTGAAAGAGATATTGAAATGACGCACGTGTGCTACAATCCCGAGTCCGATAAGTAATAAAGCACGCGTGAATCTTCCTAGAAGCATCAGTTGGCTTGTCACATTATCGCCGCAAATGACCATGACGTTACAGTCGTGGCAATTTTCCCCGAAGGAGCGAGATGTCGCGACGTTAAACGGCCGAAATGCATACGCGTGCGGCACGGCATCGTGACGACAATAGAAGCACTTTGTAGCAGAGTCCCGGCGAATTATCCCCTGTCAGGATAATTGTCCTCTCAGCGCAATCCGGTAGTGTACCCGTCTAAACGTCGATGATGTGATTCACGACCTCAATCATCGAAAGATAGGAATGGAACGACTGCTTAAACGATCCCAAGATGTCTCGCGCTACCACCATGCGAATTTTCAGATTGTCCTTGTCAAGTTTACTAATCAAGCGACAATTCTCGCCTCTATCGTCACGAGCAACGTCAGTCAACGTCAGACGAGCAAGCGCATTACCAAATCTGAGCGCGTCTCGACACACGAGTGACGCGTTTCTCGCCACTTCCGCACCGTTGATCCTTGTCTAACGCGCGGTACATTTTTCCGTCGCGCTATTGCGGTCACGGAAAAATGAGCTGCGAAGCGTAAACTGCCTCGTCATTAGTTCCAGCTAGAAAGCTGAATGAATGACCGGATTAACCGCGTTTTCCCGCGTGCGTTTTCCCGGTAATCTTGAAAACGACGGTGGGAAGTGGCCGAGGATAATCCTCGAGGAATGGGAACGAACAGGCGAAACGCACGAGCCGGCTGATTTCGATCATTTTAGACGTCGGAACAGAGAAATGCAAATTTCTCCCCCGCGACGCGAAACAAGCGAGCACTCCTCGCCTTAGCGAGAGAATAAGTTCCGCGCTACGGCACATTTTCACGATACCTTGTACACGATCGCGATAGATCGGAGAGAGATACGCAGGTTCCGCTTGGGAAAGGTCACATTGGAAAACGAAACCTGCGAGAGAGCACACCTGCTGTGTTTTAAGCTCGCTGTCGGGCTTACTCTACAGCGCGATGAACTTGTTTGTGACAACCCAACGGAATGCCTTCCTCGTCTCTCATGCAACCTTCGCTTTTTTTAATAAATTTATTCTCTCTCTCTCTCTCTCTCTCTCTCTCTCTCTCTCTTTCTTGCCAGGCGAGAAAACTAACGGTTTTTTCCGTTACAATGGCTCAGTAAAGAATCCAGCCATAGTGTCCGCATGAATTATAATCCACATGGTCTGTGTAATTTATAACAATAATAATTTATATGTGCAGAGAATTTTTTATTATTATTATATTCATAATATACGTAGATACGTTAAAAAATATGTAATATGTAAATCAATTATGTGTATAAAAAATTAAATCATTAAAAGATATGTAATACGTAAATCAATTGTATATAACATACAAAGACATAAATCATACAAAAAAAAATATATATATAATACATAGCAAATATAAATTCATAAATTATATACTAAAATAAATGAAAAAAAAAATGTATTACACAAGGACATCAAAATAAGTGTTGGAGATTAATCGATCAAACGTTTATTTGACTAAAATAATCAACAAATCAATAATCGAAATAAATGAATCATTATATACTTAAAAAAAATATCTAGAAATAAGAAATAAGAAATAAGAAATAAGAAATAAGAAATAAGAAATAAGAAATATTTATTCAATGAGTATTAATTTACTTGTATTAATATACATATATATTAATACACATTTATACATATTAATTATACATATTTATACATACTAATATATATTTTTATATTGAGAAGATATTTTTTTAAAATGAGAATATATATATTGTATGTTCTTAAAACCGTTGCTTTTCACGAAAAAAATTGTTTACTGAATATTTATTTTACCTAAACAAAAAAATTTAGATTTAAGTAAATATATCATTAATATCCACGGAGAAAATAAATATTTTTTTATTCTTCAGGTATTTCTTTTCAGTGTATATGTAACCGCGTGTACAATTTCATCAATCGACTGAGTCATCTGTGTCCTTATATGTGATGATTAATTAATTCTGTTTATTGATTATTTTAGTCGCCTGACACTTTGATCGATCGGTGTCCAACGCTGACCGAAATTGAATTCAAAAATCGAAGAGATCGCCGTACCTGGCTAAGTACGGAGCTGCTCAGCTGCGACTTGACGAGTAGGGACTTGAACACCTCGCGCTCCACGTTGCCGCTGGTAGGCGAGCAAATCTTCTCGTGGACCTCTCTGTAGAACGCCGGTATGGAGCCTGGTATTTGTGCGGGAGAGAAAGACGTAAGAGACAGATTCCCGACGCGAGTGCGCGACGACCTAACGAGAGAGGCCTTCGAGAGCGGCGGCGACGGCGGCGACGGCGGCTTCGTTCTCAGCCGCGCGACCGCTCTCGTCGCGAACGCGTGGCGAAACCACGGAGTATACATTCGTGCACCGGTCGTGTTCCGCGAACGAACGTGCGCTTTTGTTAAAAAGGAAGCTCGCGAGTTTCACTCTCCCCGCGTTTTTCCTCCGCGCGCGCCTCTTTATGAGTTTCGCAAGATCACCGCCACTTCTTATCATCTCAAATTGGCATGCGAATGTGTTAATTAAGAGTCTCGGGGACGCGCGAGATGCCCGGCGCGACTAGGATTCGCGTTTGAATTTTAAAAAATTTTACGAGCAAATCGCTCGTAAAGTTTTTTACTAATAGTCGTTAAAACTTGCCTCAGGTGAAATACTTAGACCTATATTGATCGTCGTTACTTGAAACTTGTCTCACTTGAGATACTGAAGTCCGTATTAATAATTATTACTAGAAACTCGTCTCTCTAGTGAGATATTCAGATTTGAATTCGGAGTTAGATGAAAGAATTTTCTGGTTAAATCGAGATTTTATATATATATTATAATTCAACCGAAAAACTTAAAAAAAAAATCGAACTCGAAAAATCTAAGCAACTCGCTTGAGGGAAGTTATTCAAGTTAGATGTGAGTTTTTCAATTAAATCGTGACTATAAATTTAATATAATATGTAATATATGATTAAAATAAGAGAAACTCAAATCTAACTTTAAATTCAAATCTGAATATTTTGTAAAGTTTCAAATAACGGTTATTAGTACTTAGACATTCACATGTTGTTAAATCTTATTATGACTCTTTTTTAGATTTGCCTCAAGTGTGCAAACAGATGAAATCTTATTCGAATGAATAATTGCTGAACGTAAGATAAATGTCCCAATAATTAAACTAATAACAAATTTTACGCGATCAATTTTACACTTTTATTAATGAATAATGTAATTGTTAATAAAATTAACGTTTATATTAAACTTCGGTTTGTCAGCGGTCGAAAAATAATAGGAAGTAAAGTAATAAATATCGATTATACAATTCTAATGGAATATATTAAATAATGTTGGTTGTACTAGTGATTGAACTGAAAAATAAATCGTGTCCTAATTGTACGGTCCTAATTGTACGAGTAGTACAAGACAACAATTAAATGTCCATTAAAGAATATTATAAATTGACGTAAAGAAATATCTCTTAACAAAATTCCAACGGCTTTTTTTAGCAGTATTAAATACAAATATATCATATGTTTCAGTCATTAGGACGTGTTTAGTTACTGGGACATTTACATTTATTGTAATGTTTATATTTTACGCAAGAAGAAATCCATACTTTGCAACTGTTACAAGAGAAATGGTGATCGAGCAAATTTGTGTCGTGACGAAATCGTCGCTTGTGAAATATTCCGTACATAAAAATGACAGATGTTAACATAGACGATCTAAAATCGCGTATTTATTTGCCTCTGACGCGAAGTTTAGAATAAATTTAATGCGCCGCGAATCCGGACAGCAAATCTCCACCACGACAAGTTACTATTCCAACACACGGATTACGGCGGGACGTTCGTGCGTGTGTCGTTACCGTTATCAAGACATCGCCATGCATGCGCGATTCCGTCGCGAATGTCAAACGCGAGATCAGCTGATTATCAACGGCCGCCACGAACGCGTCTTACCTGGAAAGCGCGCGGGCGAAAGATAAAAAGAAAATGGAAGAAGAAGGAGGCAAAAGGACCATATGTCCCGTGGCGAGACTCGTTTGACGACGCGCGGAGAACAAACGGCGAAGGAAACATCCGTTCGATCTGTCCCATATTTTGATTAGACCGATAAGAAAAGAGCGCGTAACATATCCGGGCGTTTTCGAGCGGCGTCGCGCCGGCGAGATGCGGTGACAGCACTCTCGCCGACGTTCTCTCGCAAACCGGTTGACCTCGCGGGAAGACCTTGTCACGAGCTGTTACGGGGCGTCGCAGGCTCATCATTTACCGAACGACAGATCGGTCGACGCCATGTTGGATCATCCGTGGATCATCGGCGGTCCCGGCGAGCGCCTCGGCGGGGTCAAACGTCGCGGGCGGCGACGGCGGCGGCGACAGCAGCACGCTTTGAGGTTAGACCCCGGTTCCGATCGCGCGCGCGTACACGACTTTGAAACACGGCCGACCGCGTGCACTCGCGCACAAATCGTGGTCCTCGGGTACGCACGAACGACGTTTGGACACGTCACGACGCGACGACGGACTTTTTCTTACACACGTCGACGACGCGTGGCCGACATACGGAAATATAATCGCGCTACGTACACCACCGCTGCACGGCGCAAGACTGACGACGGGGGATAGTGTGGAACTGGAACAAACTGGAACGTGGTGTTCGCGCGTGACCACCGCGACCACTGGCGGAAGCCGCATAAAGCAACGGACGCGTCAGACCGCGGCGCGGAGTTTACGAGATGTCGAGGTGCGTCACGAGGCCTGAAGGTTACGCATCTCTTTAATCTGAGGAACAATCACCGGGATAATTGCTGTCAAGCTGACCAGCTCGTGTTTATTCGTGCCCCATAATACAAACTTTTATGTGTGGAATAAATAAATATGTTACAAATAGATTAATTTCCGTGCAATCACAAAATATGACAAAAGAGAGGAAATTCTACTGGAAAAAATTACATAATCTAGCATATAAAGATATTTATCTAAAATTTTCTTAAAAACGCAGTTCGAATATTACTCAATAAAGAAAGTAAATTTTAAGATAATTGTTTAGAAAATTAATATTTTCATACATTTTCTTCTTAAATTCTTTAAATTTTCTTAAAGAATTAATTTTTCTAAGATTTATCCTAGATAATTAATTTTAAAGAAAAAATGAAACTCAAGAAAATTAATTTAAAATCAATTTAAGAAAAAAATTAACTTTTAAATTTAAGAAACTTTAATTATAGAATTAAAAAAATTTTTTCAAAAATAAAATTTACAATAAAATTAATTTTTTAAAATTGGTTTTTATAAATTAATTTTTCTTGCCGAGTAATATTTGAATACGTTTTACGTTTTCTCGTTGAAATTTACCCGCAGATTATTAAACTGAACAAGCATACACAATGAAATCACGACGGTGAGTCGTGCAGATTAATTTTCATCCAAGTCTCCCATAGGGAATGGTTTTGGCGGTGGTTTTTCATACTTGAATCCCAAGATCTTTTCTCGCGCTTCGTCGGGCATTTGCTTCTCCATCGACTCAATCAGTCGTATTTTCTGCGCTATCTCCTGCTGTATTATCGGTCGATATTTCTTCCCCATCCCAAGACTTTCCATGTCGTTCAAGAACTCCATTCTCTCTTGAATCGATTCTATCACTGCGGAAAACAAGACGAGACATGATCGCGTGTGTTGTCGACGACTCGTTCCGAAAAGCTTCCAATTTGTCTCGCAACGTCCTACATTGCTCTCGCAACGTTTTACATTATTCGATTGTGACTTACCCTCATCTAGGGGATTCACGTTCTCGGGTACCCGTGGTTCTCGTTTAGCTCGATGAAGGATCTTGGGACCATGAGGAGTCTCCGGCATATCTTTGCCAAAAGCCATCATGCATGCCAAGTGACGCTTTTGTTTATCTTTGTTGGCTGTTTGTGAGAACAAACGAAAATTAATTAGTGTTAGTTAGAATTAGTGTTGCTTTGCGCGCGTTGCGCATTTTCGAGTAATTAATAAGGAAAGAATTTTTAGTAAATAACTATTATCAAGTAAAGGATTTCGCAATCGACATTTTTACGGAGTTCTTATTGGCTTTTCTTTATAATCTATACTTGAAGAATTTTTTATCATTTTTTACGTAATGGCGCTGTTCTCCTGTATTGCTCCCTCTCGTAAGCGCCGCTGCTGATAATCGTGTCCTGCGAACGTCTCTTCCAAGTACTCGGTGTTTTAACCTACATGGGGAAAAACACCATGGAAATATCATTTCGTTTTTTTACCACACGGAACAAGAGATTTGTCTGAATGAATCAAATGTCTGGTAAAATTTGAACGAACCCGAATTGAAATTGAAAAAAATTCTGTTTCATGTTAACAAGATTTTGGTTGACCTAATAAAATTTCTAGTTTAATTTTCTAGTAATAAGATTTCTAGTAACCAAAACTTATAAATATCCAGCTTAAACAGTAGTAAGTTCTGGTTAATTAGAAATATTCTTTGGATAATCAGAATCTTGTTAACTTGAGCAAAAAATTCTGTGTAACTTGAAACGGAATTCCAGTTTGCTCATATTTCAACCAGACATTTGACTAATTCAACCAAATGTTTTTTTCCGCGCACGTTTTTTCGCAGCGTCGCGATATTTACACAATAATGTTCGATCGTTTTATTGTCGGTGTCCTTGGTCTTTCTTCGATCGACAGACGGCGGTAACGACTCACCCTTGTCTACAGCCTCCTGGATCGTTTTCCTTTGCAACATTGTTAACTTAGATTCCTCCATTAACACTAACGTTTAAAATTGTCAGACGTTAAAAGTGAGTGACGTGAGGGAAGAGGTCTTCCGTCAACATGTTCGACGTTTTGCGCGAGTTGGTTATTATTTACTTACGTTTAATTAGATTTCGGGTGTCGTCGCTATATTTGGCTCTCGGGGGGTTGTGAAACGCGCCCACCCCCAGACCAACCTTCTGATACCTTCGATCCATTGATTCTCGCCGACAAGCTTGCGACTCTCGAGGATTGCGCGTACGATTGCGTCAATTACCGAGTGAACTGTCATGAGCGAGCTACGGCTGGCTGAAGCGACAATCACAATACACGTTCATCCATCCCACTCTTGGCCCTCGGCTAATCTAACGAGTCGTAACGAGGCGCGTCGCGTTTCTATGACTACTTGGAAAGATGACTCAACTCGATCGAACTAACTTCCAAATCGGAATTCGACATCGCGGTCTATTACCCCGACGAGTGGGCGTATAATAGCCTCGACGGCAATTCGCGAGCCTCTTTCTGCTGATTGCGATTCCGTCGAGTACGTACACTTGTCGCAAACGACATCACGAATTATCATTCTTCTTACGGTAACTATTAGGTTAATGCAACAGAGATTTGTTGTGCCAGGTAAAATATATCAAAGATACATGTGCAGTATAACGCTCTCATCTTGGATTTTTTTCAAACTTTGTAAATTTGTATATTTTAATGCGTAGAATTGATTTTTGAATACTACATATTTACCGATCTATCGAATATTGCAATAAGTGAACGAGTAACGCCACGAAGAGGTTCACCAGGACAACACATGTTATATCAATTTGCCAGCACTGCGAGTGTGAATTTTTGTTAATGGAGGACTTGAAAAAACATAAGGGCGCGGCGCGCAAGGACAAAATGTTTGTGTGCGATGTGTGCAATACACGCATGCAGAATAAGAAGAGTTTAACGTGCCATGCAAAAATGCACCAAAAACAGATCATTTATGTACGATTATTATAAAATGGTATCCAATACTAAAAGTTTGTGTCGTCATCGCTCTACGCACAGTGAGCACCGGTCTTACAGGTATAAGATCTGCCAATAAACATTCCGCTTGGCACCATAGAAGGAGGGAGTATTAGGTGGCGGCAGGACGCCGTGCGTTTGGGACCTGCGTCTTTTTCATTCCGGAAAGAGAAAAATAGTGCGATTTGCTAGGTCGGGACTCGAACCCCGGGTCTTTCGCTTGCCGGGCGACTATTCTAAACTATCTGACGCTCTAAGTTACCTGACGCTCTAAGTTACCTGACGCTCTAAGTTACCTGACGCTCTAAGCTACCTGACGCTCCACGTTCACGAGACTCAGAGATAACGCTCAGAGATGCCGTTCGGAAGCGACATTTCTGGCGCGGTCCGAGCGCACGGCGACTACAAAGAGAAACATAGTTACTGTACCAAATGGCACAGTTGTCAGTTTCTCAAAGTCAAAGGTTGCTATCCTTTAAGACCTGCTATGTATGTATGCCCGTCTCCACCGTTGCCCCTCCTCATCCGGTGCAAATAATACAAATAAGCCCCGGGGTCGATACAAAGCATTCCGCTTGGCATTCATCTGACACGACACTAGGGATTCCAATCTCAAGATCCTGGATTCAACATCATAAATCCCGGGATTTTAGGATTGCAAAATTCAGTAAACGAGACATTGTTGCGGCGTTGCACAACCCGCACACTATCGCGAGACGAAAACGCGTATACGCGTATACGCGTATAAAGCGGCGCTTAAAGCTTCTGTATGTTCACTTTTTCTGTCCTTGTTTGATGACATTAGAAGCAAGAAATCGCATAGTAAAAATCCTTATGTCAAAAGTCAAAGTGAAACAAAGTTTGAAAAAAAAATCCAAGATGAGAGCATTATACTGCATATTTGCCTGTATCAAATAAAATAAAAGAAAACTTTTGATAACCAAACACACACACATATACTTCCTAGAAGTTTTTAATAGAAATTTAATGGAAAATGACAAATCCAAATAACAGTTACAGACTAAATATGCTCTCATATTTAATTAATTATTTAGGAAAACAAATAAAATCTAAGCGAAATTAAGGTACTTGTTATCAACATACTTGCCGCGTTAAAATTAAATCATACTGCGAAAAATTTTCTGTTAACTTGATACACAAGTATCTTTACACACAACATATTTGTACATTTGACATATAAAACGACAAATATCATGAAAAATTCATGCATTTACGTGTAAATTATGTTATTTGAACACTTAGAAAAATAGTGAATATCATCTCAAAAATAGTCAAAATAACACAACGACAAATATGTTAAATTAACACACGGGCGTGTTAGAAAAATTTAATAAGATTTCTACGCGGATTAATTTCAACACAAGTGCAAAATGTTTTTTACGGTTTGCATCATCGAGGATGTGAGATGGTCTTCCTAAATTTCCTGGAATGAAATTCACTCGGGAAGCAAAGTGACAGCCGAGTCACTCGAATTCGAGTCATCTTTCGCTCCTATAGAGCGAATTCTCCACTCTGAATCATTGAGTGGATATTTTCACTGAAAATTGAAGAGTGAATCTGAAGCCGTCAGAAGAACATATTCGGTCGATTGAAACGTCCGCCCGTATGGAGTCAGAATCCACTCTGATCTTGAGCGGAATATTCACTCTTGCGATTACGAGTGGTAGTATTTTCACTGTCGCCTTGAATGAAAATACCGTTACTTTTCATTACAGAAAATTTAGACAGTTATATCAATTTACTTTATCAGTTATATCATAGTATCAAGTAAAAAGAGGAAAATATTAAGGAAAAACCAGTCGAATTGATCAACGTCGACAATGCGTATAAACAAACGATGATCGATTCGAAGCAGACGCAGTTGGAAGAATGCTACAAACTGCGGCGCGCCTGCGTAGCCCGCGTCAAACGATCCTGTAGCAGGGGGTGTCGTTTGCCACCCTTGGTTACAGTCACCTTCGCGTTTTGCGCATCGCAGTCGCCTCGCTGTCGCCGACGAAATACGCATTTCGTGCCGCGGTTTTTCGCATTCCTCGCGAACGACGAGCGCGCACTCGCAACTCGCGTGAATTCTCGTCGCGCACGCCAAGACGAAAACGGTGAAGCGCGTCGCAAGAGTCGTCCCATGTTTCGTTTTCGCGGCAGCAGGCAGCAAAAGTTATTGATCGCGAGCCGCGACCGTCCAGCCATTCACCGACATTTGGAGCACCCTGCGAGGTAAGCCGACGACGTGCTGCTTCACCTACTTTCGCACCCACTGTCGCCTCTCTTGTTCCTTGTCTCTACTGATGCGGAGTATGAAGTAATTAGTACGATTGACACGAAGTGATAAGGAAAGTAAATAGGCAATTTACATAAACAATGAAAACGCTGATATTTTTAGGAGGAGGGTTTGAGAAAGTAGAGAGAATCGACTCACGTTAGTCCGTTAAGAGCCAACATGAAGATCGTACTGTTGAACAACTTCTTGCACTACTTGAGCCTGAAGCAGGGCACGGTGGTGATCGCGATATTGCAATTGGTAACGGCAACTCCTGCGGGTTGAGCTTAGCGCGCGCTTAAAATTCGCTTGCGTGCGTGCATGCGTCTCGTAGAGAATAATTCCGACAAATTTTGCGCAGTTCATAACCGGATTCATCCTAATATTCTTCGTCTTGGCGACGGCGCACGTGATAGGGATCCAAGCGATGGTGGTGAGGGACACCGAAGATGCCCTCGAGAGGGAGGCTTTGGAGGAGATCTCGTCGAACCATCTCAACACCAAAAGAATGGATCTCGCGCACCACAACGCAACCGGTTATTTACAGAAATATTTGCACTCAGTAGTACAATGATATCTCATTGCACGCCAAAAAAGATATAAGTAGAAGCCATCATTCCGTTTTAATCGTCGTAGTTATCGTGACTTTCGACCAGACGATATTTATTTGCAGAAATGATATATACGACATATGGCGCCTTCGCCGTGGCGATAATGCATTTCATCAGCACGATCATGCTCCTATACGGAACCCTGGCGGTAACTCGAATCCTTGAAAGCGCAAGCGATCGAACAGCTATGTCCGGCTGGTTTTCTACAGCGTGTTCTACTTTCAGAATAATCGTCATTGTATGATACCCTGGATGGTGTCCATGATAATTGCCATATCGTCTCTAGCGATCTCGCTATTCATGGTGGGCGACAATTGCCCCCTCGTCATTATTTTTGGGGGAAGAGCGAGTTATTTCGAGCGTAAGTCAATGTGAAAATCGCTTAACGGAAACCTCCCTCGCAGGGAGACTTTCCTTCATATTTTCTCGACGATTCGTCCTCGACCCGAATGCTCAATCAGACACGATTTTATTTCTCACGATTACAGAATATCGTTATTATGGACATAAGTTTCTGATTGAACGAGTCAAAGACTCTGTAATATGAAATCAAATTACAAAAGTGGACCCGATTAGAGACCTATCCTGTGGTACTGTACTTGAGTTGACCCCAATCAGTTTATCTAGTTTACGTAAAATGATGTTATCAGATTAGTCATGTAACACAGTATAGCAATCGAAACTTTATTAATAATAAAGATTATAGAATAATTAGGATAACATCGTCTTATACGAATCAAATATCTGATTAGGATCAACTTGATCAGGACCATAGGATAAATTTAGCATTAGTTGGACCAGATCTATGAAAACCAACGCAAGATGAAATTGCGCAAAAAAAATAACATTAATATCGAATAACATTAATACTGTTAATATTCCTTTTTGCGCAAGTTTATCTCACTTTGGCACTTACAGGTTCTGCATTTTTATAAATTTTTTGTTTCAAATTGAACTTTTTGCACCGTGTTACCTTATACATGAAGAGAACTTTGTAGTTTAAATTATTATTGAATTGTATAACGGAAGAATAGATTGGCATTCCTACAATAATCTTTTCATTTCATATGTGCTGCATTAAGAGAAAAAAATAGGGACTAGTAAATATTTATTTGGTGGGTACTAGCAGCATATATTTATTTATACCAGTATGAAAAATTTTCAAATAAGAAAATACATTTTCTTCAGACCTTAAAGAAACCTTAGTTCTTTGTGAAAAAGCAATTATTTATTTTGTTTAAGTAAAAAAATTTAGATTTAAGTAAATATTTTGTTAGTACCTACCAAATTAAATATTAACAAATCTTTAAATGTTTTTTTCTCTCAGTGGCTATATTTTAGGAAATGAAATGTGTTATTAAAAAATTTACTCTGTTTTTAGCAAAACACAGTAAAATTTTAACGAAATTTATTACCCGAACAACACTAATGTTTACAGGGCATCCTCTAAAGACGTTCTGAGAACGTCCCTGCGAGAATATCTCCAAAACATTCATTGCAGATCTTGTGCTATCTAGATATGTTCTTCAGCGAGATAGATAGATAGATAGAAGATAGATTTATATATAACTGACAGCGCGCGCGCGCGCGCGCGCCTACGTTTCTGTGCTACTATAGTGAAATCGGAAAGAATTTAAATGAAAAAAAGAAACTACAATATTCTCTTCGTGTATACTTATAAAATTATCGCGTAACGTGAAATGGCATATTTTCTACGCTGTGACGAAGAATGATGTCACATCCTCAGGTACAGCCGCCTTCTTCGCGTTGCTCATGGATTTCTATATCTGGTTCGTGGTGTACAGCACTTATAAGAAGCTGGAGACGAAGAAAGGGCTCCTGCACGAGGTGCACTGCGTGAAGAAGAAGTGCGCTATGCCCGCGTTTGAGGTGCCGAAGATGATCCCGATCTCGGCGAAGAAGCCCTTCGAAGTTTAGAGATGTTGTCATAGCAAAGGTAGCAACGAAGAATTCGCTCCTTACGATGGGAATTAAGATCGGTGGCCACGTGAAAGCGCAAAATTCCGTGGAAAGGTTGCGCGCTTGCAGGCGGGTCCAATCATGGTCGGGACGATAATTTCGAGGCGATTGCGAAGCTATATATTTTGCACTCTATGTGGTTGTATTAACTCAAAAAAGCAACACAACACACGAGAAATCAGTCGCGAGTAATCGGAACGAAAAGAGATACTTCGCTGTACAAAACTCAACAAGAGACACTCTGCTAGAACAAGGTGCTAACGTTTCGACGTTTTTCTTCTCGCTCACGCGTCTTATCGTTAAAAAGCTGCGCGCTGTTTTACGTTTTTTGCGCTGACACACGACGATTCACGATATGATCTCATTTTAATACGACGCACATAGAGTCTTAGTGCTATGCTTAGATCTCAGTTGACGAACTGCATATTGTATATTATTGTACAACATCTGTTGTACACACACACACGTCGGGGGCACTCCGACGCTGAGGAAATTATCACGACTCCGGAGTTATACTGCAATTCTAAACAAAATCGTAAAAATCGTAACTTGTTTTCATAAGACTCGTAAGAACTTATGAGTAGATCTGCAATTCTTTGCGGATATGTCATATGATAACTCGTAAATATCTATGATTTTTTTTTGTTTTTTTCGTAAGTTACGACTTTACGATTTACTCGTATATTTGCTTAGAATTGCAGCATTAGTTTCATATCGCTGTGCGAGTAGTATGCACTTCTTCTCGCGCGCAAGACTGACTTTCATCGAAGATACAACGCGGAATAAAAAGAGCCCGGGAGATTCGCGTTACGGCCGTTAATCAATTGATCGATCAATCAATCAATCAGTCAGTCGCGATCCATAGCCGTAGCGCTTCCATGAATCGTGTAGATAAATTATCGGAGAAACGACGGGAGCTTGATTTTACAAGAAAGAATCGGTTATTACGGGTGTGACATAATAAATAATTTTATTTCGTATCTCAACCCAACTCGTTTGTGAAATTATAACCTTGTTATTTGCGGCAATATCCCGATACGAAGTGTAGTCATCTCATGTGTATATGTATATTAAATGTACGAAAGAAACGTAAAAATAAAAAAAATTACAATACTCCAATAAGTATATATTTATGTATATTATATGTATATGTATGTGTATGTTGTGTATCTGTGTCTGTGTGTATATACGTCTACGCGACGCATATTACCGATTCAGTTTGTAAAACGAACGGACGTTTGAACGAGAGCGAGCGTTCGTCGAACAGCTAAGAAACACAATATACTCTCTGTAACGACAATCAACTACCTAAAGTCGTCATATATGCTCGGAAGAAAAACATTATAGTTCGTGTGATTGAATGGAGACCAGACGGAAAACTCGCTGACAAGAAATAATAATTTATTACTGCGACTGAAAACATTCAGCTAAACATTCAAAAGCTGCGTTTTATATATATATATATATATATATATATATATATATATATATATATATATATATACATACAGCTCGGTTGAGATAACTGAGAGCGATTAATGCTAAGCAGATAACCTTCTCTGCAGAAATATTTCTGTTGCTGAAACCGAGTTTTCGTCTGATCCCCAGAAACTAGGTTAACAGAAAATTCAGCTATACTAACGGAATCGTTTCTTCCGTGTCGATTTCAGACTTCCATAAAGCGCGTTTAACGAAAGAAATCTCATTTTTCTCATAACTAGAAAACACACGATATTAACAGGAGGGAAGGACACACGGTTTGCATTGCAAGGCTTCTTTTCGCGCAAGCGAGAAAGAAAAGTAATGAGCAGCGTTCTCTGACTCGCAATGATATTTATGACCAATGTTTGATTTCGATTACGCAGCATTCTTATCTAAAGTGTAAGAAAAAATGTGAGTATCACGCCAACAAGTATACAACTCGCAATGTTCCCGGCGGCAACGAGATGCGTCGCTCGTGGATATTCCTTCCGTCTGTTGCATTGGAAAATTCGCTTCTCTGTTAATAGGCGTCGGCGGGTAGGCTCGTTACACGTAACGGGTTTGTTCGCATACATAATCGCCATTTATCAGACGTCTCGCGGCGCGGTTTTCGACGCGTTAAATCTCTCATCGTCGACGTTTCCGAATAAGGCAGCGCACCACCGACGTTTAGTAGCCGAGCTTTACGCTCCCGTATTCGTCGAAAAGCCGCGCACAACACACCAACGATCGGCATCACTAACAATCAATAGAACTCTTCGTTTGGTCCTCTATCATATCGTCCGGCGCGAAAAGGAGCGGACGTCTCTTATATCTCTCCTCTCAACATCTCACTGAATTGACGTTCCTTATAAGCATCACGTGTATCATTGCGCCTGGTAAAGGCCGATCTTCATTGGGCGGCATCGATGATGCAGGTGACAACAACAAAGGGACACGAGAGTCGTCTCCGTGCGGTATCTTAGTTCACCGCCGTCGTGTCCTCCAGTCACATTTTCTCGTCAGTCAGTTCGAGGAATTGCGCGTAAAGGTCTCTCGTGCATTCACCCTTGTTGTTGAATACGAACTTGTAATAACTACCGTCTGCGCATATCACTGCACAAAAGGACACAAAAACGAATCGTGAGACAGAAAAAGAGAGATTTGCCATGTGAAGCGACGGCACTGCTATGTAATTACATTGCTTTCGAATTCAGCATTGCTTACCTATGATGCTATTGTTATCTTGGCCGAACGCGCACATGCACTGCGGCCCGCCCGGCACTTGAAACTTGCAGAAGCTCCAGCTCGAGCTGAAGTACTTTGGCAGGAACGTGGCGGATGCTAAGCTAGACTGACGATTCAGCTTTTGATCTTCGACGGCAAATACGTGCACGGTGCCGTGATCGCTGGCGACGCACAGCCACGTGGAATCGTGATTGAAGTTTATGCTAAAGTAAGAATTACTTTAGAACGCGCGTTTCCCGCGTACCGTACGCTCGTCCCTGTCTCGTATCATGTCACCTCTCGCGCTTACCAGTAAATATTCGCGTGATTCGCTCCTCTTCTCAACTCGTTGATCATGTTGCCGTTTTGCGTGTCGAACACTCTTATTAAAGTACCCTTCTCGGAGGCAGTAGCCAATCTGGTGCCCTGCAGATTTAAAGCTATACAAGATAAAGGCGTCTCGTGCGCTTCTATGTTCAAGGGTTGCTTCTCGGTGTTAGCCAGATCTATAACTGAAATACAAGGATGCGAATGTTACAGAATCGTGACGCGTGAACTGTATTAATTGCATTTTCTCGATGGGTCTTACCTTGAACGTGGCCGTTTTTTCGTCCAGGGAAGGCAAGTAGGGAGTTGTTACTATTGGGGCATAAAACGCACAATCCACGTGGATTGGGATTAGTCTCGAACACGTGTAACTGCTGGGGATTCTGTGTAAATGTGTAAACTTTTATAACGCCTTCCAACACTACCACTATCCTGTCCCTCCGTAATTTCACACCTTTCACGGGCGCGTTAAATTCTAAGTTGATCACAGATGACTTCTTTATGTCATCCCAGATCATAACTGCAATTGCAAAGCATGATTGTTGTCGGTTCATCAACATATAAGAAATGTACAGAGTGTAATTTAAGTAGATGGCTAAACGTTAAAAATAGATTCTGCTTATTTTAAGGATAAAAGGATTATATAAATGTAGATCTAGAATCTTTCTTCTAAGATATAAATGCTTTTGATCTACAATGGAATGTTACAAGAATATTTCATTACAGAAATTACATGATTTCCTTCTGAAGTCATGTATGCCTTTCACCAATGTCTGAGTTTGACGAATGTCTAAAAATTCTTGGAATATTTCGAATTTTATCACAAAAAGCAGTGACTTTGAAATATCTCAACAGTAACATCATAAAAGTGATTTCTTCTGGCAGTAAAAAAATAATAAGGGTATTTATAATTCTATTTAACAAATCATTTTAGTAACTTTTTCAGTTATAAAAAGTATGTTAATATTCCAAAAAAGGAAAGTTTCTAAATCCCATTTAAATTATCACAAGAGATATGTTAATATTCTAAAAGGAAAAGTTTCTAAATCCACCAAATATCTTTCTTCATTCTTAAGATAAAGAATACATTCCTAAAATTTGATTAAATTTAAGTGTTTTGACAGTGACAATTCTTCATAAATAAAAAATACGTTATTCCAGAAAAGAAGAGTTTCTACTCAAGATCCAAGAAGAATATTTACCCAAAGATCTTTTTTTATTCGTAAGATAGGCAGAATACATTCTTAAAATTTGGTCATTCACTTAAATTGTATTCTCTGTAAATACCAACCTTTATTTGTGGGATACATTGGTTTGGCTCCACCACCCACTAGCGCTAAATAATTACACCTGAAGAGCATCTCTACATATCCGAGACCCCCATCGCTGAAATCGTGCCTCTCTTTCTCCTTCAGCGGATCACAATTATACACCCTGAAGCCATTTTCCATACCACAAGCGAAACATCCTAAAAAAATATATGCGAACATGTGAGTCAGCACATGTATACACAAATCACGTGAAAAAAGCGATATTCTTATCTGCCTGTGTGTACACTTGTATGGCACATCCTTTTTCTTAGCAATACTGATCAGACTGTTACAGCCTGTGTATTTACGATACACGCGTGCATGTATTAATACAATACAAACACACGAAATACATGACCACGATAGAGTCACACGTGTAGATATGATATCAACATGGAATTGTTTTACACAGCAATCATAGCGTTTCTCAGGAAAAGAAGAAAGGATGGAATAAATGAACACACTGGTGATCTCTTTCGTGCCTTTATTCAATTTCATACAAGAATCAGGATAGAAAAACTTATTAATAGGTGAAGAGGAGGGGAAATATTTTATCAATATGATTCCAAGTGAATTATGTTCCGAGTAACAGATCGGAAGGTTATTAACATCTTCCGCAAAGTAGAATGGCTCGCGATTAATTAAGTAACGAGATTACGATCGACGACGATCGTACATCGACGCTCCAAATGAAGATGCGCGAGAAGGAGGTTAGGAATGACGAAAGAGAGAAAGAGACAGAGACAGAGAGAGAGAGAGAGAGAGAGAGAGAGAGAGAGAGAGAGAGAGAGAGA